TGAACTGGGGGTCCTGGGGCCTGGCCAGGGGGTCCCGGCAGTCCCGACGTGGGGGGTCCTGGCCAGCGGGTGCTGGGGGGGTCTGGCCACGGTCTCCCGGGGGACCTGGCAGGGGATCCTGGGGGGGGCTGAGCTGGGGCGGGGTCCCAGGGGTCCTGGCAATGGTCTCGCAGGGGTGTGGCCCGGCCGGGGTCCCCAGAGCAACCCTGTCCCCAGGGAACGCGGCGGCCACAGTACTGATCCCCGCAGGCGATGGGAGCGTCCGAGCCCCCCAACTTCTCGTGGGTGGCGGAGGGGCGGCTGGCGGGCCTGGGCATGCCGCGGGAGCCGGGGCACTACCGGTTCCTGCTGGGCCAGGGCGTGCGGCACCTGGTGTCGCTGTCAGAGCGGGCACCCCCGCACCACGGCTGCTGCCCGGCCATCCACCTCCACCGGCTCCGTGTGCCCGACTTCAGCCCTCCGACACCCGGGCAGATCCAGAGCTTCCTGCAGCTGGTGGAGGAGGCCAACGCCCGCGGTGAGGTATGGCGAGGGGCACATCACACTGGGGAGGCAGCGCTGAGGGGGTGACACCGCAGCGGGGTGACACCTCGCACGGTAGGAGGTGGCACCCAGGGAGAGGTTATGCCAAGGGAGGCAACGCCTGTGACACCAAGGGGTGGTGCTGGGGAGCACGGGGGGCTGCGGCAGGGACACTCGCATCCCTCCGTGCTGGTGCCAGCTGACGGTGCGGCGGTGCCGGACAGGCTGTGGCAGTGCACTGCATGCTGGGACACGGCCGGACGGGCACCATGCTGGCCTGCTACCTGGCGAAGGCACAGAAGATGAATGGCAACGACGCCATCTGGGAGATCCGACGGCTGCGGCCCGGCTCCATCGAGACACGGGAGCAGGAGCAAGCCGTGATCCAGTTCTGCCAGCGCGTTTGGTAGGTGCAGCCCTGCAGCGAGGAGTCCTGGCTCTATGTCACTCGCCTCCCTGGAGGGGCTCCCTGTGCCATGCCAGGGCCACAGCTGGTGACGTGCCGGGCACAGTGAGCGGGAGGGGAGCTGCGGCTCCCAAAGCCCAGCTCACCAGTGGGATCTGCCGTGCCACAGTGCTGGAGAGGACAGCGAGGATGCGTGAACACGACCGTCTCCTCGGGGCAGCGTGTGCTGGATGGGTTCGATGGAGGCTGTCGCTCCAAAATGGTGGGGGGCCTTTCCCAGCCCCGAGGTTCTGCTGTCTGTCCCTGCATTAAAGGACTCTCCTGTGGCTTCTCTCCAGGTCTGTGTATGGGGAACCAGCAGGCAGCACATGCGCTCGTGGCTCTGCCAGGCTCCCTGCCACCCCGCTGTGCCACCCAGCTCGGTCGGCAGCCACGTCCCGGCTGCAGGGGTCCTGGCTCTTGGGTCTCTGCCCAGCCTTGGCCCTTGGGGAGCGCGAGTGGCTGCATTTCGGCCACCAGCGAGCGGGCCTGAGAGCTGGTCGCCCGCCAAAGCAGTGATGCCACGCAGAGGGTGGCAGCTGCGTCAGCGCACGGGGGCCGGCCCAGGACGTTGATGCTTAAAGTGTAGCTTAGATGGAATTTAGGCATCTCTGTCCAAAAGTCCAATCCTGAAAATCTCTTCTCAGCTGCTCCTAACCTTGGTGGCATTTAAATCCTAAGTGCAAGAAGTGTCACCGTCCCCATTCCCGGGTGTGCGGCACATGGCTGGGAGCGCCTGGCGCTCACTGGGCATGAGCGCCGTTTCCACACCCTGGGCTGGCGGAGCTATCGCCTCTGCGAGGCAACTCCCCAGGCCCCCAAACGTTGCTCTGAAACACCAAAATGTCGTCGTCTTCCCTCGGGAACAAAGCACCAGGGTGGTGGCACCGGGTACCACTGACAAAATGGCTGTGCCCTGCTCAGAGACCTGTCTGGGGGCAACCAACTGCCTTGGGGCGGCTGTAGCACCCCAGTGTTCCCGTCTCTTGGACCCCGCTCCTCCCACAGGGCCTGGGGTGGGACCAGCAGGGACAGAGGAGGTGACTGAGGAGAGGTCTTCACCACAGGCTGTGGAGCACCCCAAAAAGCAGGGGACAGAAAGCAGCCCCTTGCTCTGCCTGGTGCCCCATGGCCCTTCCCTGGTGGAGATTCGGGAAGTACCCATGGTCCATGAGCGATGCCATGGCTCTGGTGGGCTGTGACACAATGTCAGGACATGGGGCCATCTATGGGTGCTCAACTCTGCCTTCACCCCTTACCTGGGGCATGAGGGGGGGGGGGGGGGGGGGACCCCTGGCCCGGGGGAAGGGCGGGGGGGGGGGGGGGAGCACAG